TGTGGCTGCTCCAGCCAATAGCATGAGTTGGATTGGCTGTTTTCAAAAAGTGAAGCTCTTTGGAATTTTTTTTTTTTTAAATTGGATAGGAACCATGTATAACGCTAATAGTCCCAAAACCAGAGAACTGGAAATTTAATTTATTTTTTTCCCCCCTGTGTCTCTAAGTGACTTTCAGTTGGAGTCATTTTGATGTTGCTGACTTTAGCTACATGCTGTTTTTTATTGGCATTTGCCTGCTTTTAAAGCTTTATTAGGAGTATAAAACAACCTTGAATATAGATTTGGACAAAAATTTTTGAAACATTTTTTTAGCTTCAAGTATATAAATTTCCTCATTGTGGAAAACTGCTTTTATATGTAGGATAATACTTTTTGTTTTGATTTTAAATGTTTTCTCTACATTATGTTCCAAAGAAAGTAAAACTTGTAATAGTTTGAAAATACTTGTTATTGGAAAGCAATGTGGATTGATTTTCAGAAGATATGGTTTAATTTGTCACGAGAGCATGTAATAACTTAAGCTAGATTAATAAAATAGTGGCAAGTAAAAGAGCTCAATAGCCCATAATGAAGAAACAAGAGTGATTTTAATGAGTTCTGGTATTTGGGTGAAAATAAAACATTTTTTAACTTAAGGTCCTTGAGATGATTTTGTTAAATATTTTATGGTCTTGTGTGGGCTTTTTATCCCCACTCTTGATAAGAGAAAAAAATAATGGTTTGCTGAGCCCAAATAAACATTAGTCTTATCTTTTAAATTTATAATATAAATAATTGAAAATTTACTGTAATTCAAGGTGTTTATCAATACATTTGATTTCTGAACATCCAGTTACAAGAGAATTTCGAGAACAGTCATGCACTGCATAATGATGTTTCTGTCAATGACAGACCACCTATATGGCACTAGTCCCCTAAGATTAGTGCCATATAGCTTGGATTTGTGTAAGTACTGTAAGGGAGGAAGGCATTTTCCTCTACCCTTCTAGGTCCTTCTGGCTGGTCTGAGAATTAAATTGACAGGAGACAGATTAACAGGAGAAAAACAACAAAAAGTTTAATCACTTGTATATGTGAGAGAAGCCCGGAAAGACTGAGTAACTCACCAAAGTGGCTCAAGTCCTCACCTTAAATACTATCCTCAGCTAAAGACAAAAGGCTTCACCTTTGCATTTCCATTTTCCACTGCCCTTGATTAAGGACCATTTTACAAAAGGCAGGGAAGTTTGTTCTCGTTGCTGCATTTCACTTTAGGTGATTATGCTTCTTTAATATTAGAAAATCCTGGTCTTATTTCAAATGGTAGAAATCTTTTCCATACACATTGTTTTGGTGTTCCATTAGAAAGACTTTCCTGGTAGTGACGTTTTGTTACTAAGTATTCACTCATTTGAATCACTGATTATCATTAAGTATTCTCCAATTTGAATCATTTATTGAATTAAAATCATTAATTAGAAACTACTGCTATTGTAGGTGTGTGCTTGTAGTTAATCCCCTTTTTGAGTCTTTTAGGCCTTTTGAATTAGTTTAAGTGCTCACATGTAATAGCTGTTGAAATAGAACCCTGTAACTTTAGTATAATTAAGAGTTAGCTATACTCGCTCAATCCCAGACAATTCAGATGCAATAGTGGCTCTGCCCTTCTTCCCAGTGCTGGTCACTTGGACAGGATGTCCAGAGAGCCTGAAAAGGGTTGCCAGTTGACACCAGAATCAATTGCATGCGAGATCACTAGGCCATCTAGCAGCCCCATGCTCTATTTTGCACTAGCAATGGCATTAAAGGATATTATACAGATGAGTAGATTTTCCTGCCATGATGATGATCTCAAAGGTTAGAGCTGTGCCAGGAACTATTTCTACGTTCTGGTTAATAATAATCCTGTCCAGGATTGAGTATTAGCTCTCGGTCAGATGCTGGGACTTCAGTTAGGCCCCCCGTTCATGTAGTAACATGTATCGTTTCTGTAGCTACAGTAGCTTTTTTAAGAAATTGGTCCCCAAGAGTCAGTTACTGATGATAACTACAGGCACACTGTGTTTTATTGCACTTCACTTTGTTGCGTTTTTTAAAACAAGACCCTCAGCCAGCAAAAAGATTACAACTTGCTGAAAGCTCAGATGATGGTTAGCATTTTTTTAGCAATAAGTATTTTTTAATTAAGATATGTATATTGTGTGTTTAGGCATAATGTTATTGCATACTTAATAGACTAGAGTATAGTATAAACATAACTTTTATATTCACTGGGAAACCAAAAAATTCGTGTGACTTGCTTTATCACAATAACCACTTTATTGCAGTGGTCTGGAACTGAACCTGCAGTATCTCTGAGGTATGCAGGTTTTGAGGTCTTCCCTGTAATATACTAGCCAGTAGTTGAAATATAAGCATATGCACAAATGTAAACTTAGAAAACCATATAACCAGTTTAGGGAAACAAAATAAACTACCAGTAAAGGACACCTTTTAGAATAGTGTTTTGTAAGTGTATATGTTAGTATATTTACCCTTGCCAGTATATCTATACAAGTAAAAAATAGGAAAAAAAAATGTTTTTAAACCTTTTAATAATGAGAATTCTTTTGTTTTTTTTTTTAAAGATTTTATTTTTTTCCTTTTTCTCCCCAAAGCCCCCCAGTACATAGTTGTATATTCTTTGTTGTGGGTCCTTCTAGTTGTGGCATGTGGGACGCTGCCTCAGCGTGGTTTGATGAGCAGTGCCATGTCCGTGCCCAGGATTCGAACCAACGAAACACTGGGCTGCATGAAGCGGAGTGCGCGAACTTAACCATTTGGCCACGGGGCCAGCCCCTAATGAGAATTCTTTAGTAGGTAGAAATCTTTCCCAACAAGAGGGTCATTTACTTTTTATTCCCTGTTTGTCTGTAAATACCAGCTTCTTGTCTTTTAAATTAAGATATATAGGACTAAGTCTTTTTAAAACTAATTACCTTCCCAAATTATTATTTTTACAGCTATGTTTTTAAAGTTATATTTTTAAAACAGGAGTAAATGTAATTAAAATGTTTATAAAAATTATCAAGGTGTTTTGAACAAATACAAACTATATCTCTGGGCTATTTTGGCTTTTTAAAAATATCCTTTTTGAGTGAACATTCTTCTGATAATTGATTTGAAAGCAAGATTGTTAGTCCCCAACCTATGAAAATATAGAAATGAGACAGAAGGGAAATTTTCTTAATTTTAAAAGTACTAGTCTTATTTTGTTTTTATTTTTTGTTCTTCTCCTTTTTTCTTGCTTGTTCATCTGGGGAGTGACATTCACTGTAAAAGTTTTGATTAAATCAGTGTATACAAGATGGATGACAGTAAATTTTATTTGGTATGAAGTACTGTAGCTAGCAGGTGATAAATTTTTTTTAGGGGGGGAAAGATTAGCCCTGAGCTAACGCTGCCAGTCCTCCTCTTTTTTGCTGAGGAAGCCTGGCCCTGAGCTAATAGCCATGCCCATCTTCCTCTAGTTTATATGTGGGACGCCTACCACAGCATGGCTTTTGCCAAGTGGTGCCGTGTCCACACCCGGGATCCGAACCGGTGAACCCCGGGCCGCCAAGAAGTGGAATGTGGAAACTTAACCGCTGTGCCACCAGGCCAGCCCCACAGGTTATAATTTTTAAGTAGCAAAATTAAATTTGTTTGTAGTTGGAATATATGAAATTCCTCATTTAGTGTGGAAAAATGAAAATGAGAGGACCTGCTTCTATTCCTTATACAGCTGCTTATTGTCATGTCACATAGAATACACTTTTGTATCTCTCTGTGCCTCTGGCTTCTCTTCTGTAAAATGGGCTCAAGAATTTAATGACTGCCTTCAACCCTTTCAAGAACATTGAGGACAGATACTTTGAAGTCTTTGGAAGACAAAATGCCACGTTGTGTATTTGTTGGTACTAACTTGCCTTGTAAGTATGTGCTGTGTATTGTACACAATGACGTGGTGTGACATTGTGAACTTTTTTATGAGGACAGAAGTTGTTTGCATGCCTTGATGTTAAACTATAACTTCATTATTAATGTTTCACAGTTTCTGAACTTGATTCTTTCCTCTCTCTCTAGTACAGTGGGAACTGACCCTCTGAACTGTCCGTGTCCTGTACTGTTCCTGGGCGGGTGGTGGGAGGCTGGAGTACTGATCTTTCATGGCCGTCTTAGAATTGTGCACAACAGTTGCTGTACAGGTGGGTTAGGGATGTAGCCCGGGTCTGCCATGTGCAGAGGAGGGCCTCATCAGCCTAGGAAGACAAAGAGACCTCTATTTCCTCATTTGTAGATTTTCTTCGGCATGTTTATGCTGTGCTGCATTCTGACTCATGAGTTGGAGAGTCAGGTGGAACTTTCTATTTTTAACATGTAGGAAGTGTGGCGAATGGGGAGAATTCCAGCCTAGGATTTGGGAGACCTAGATTGTTGCCTGTGTGCTGCCCCTACAGTAGTTCTCACTTTGACCTGTTCTGGACGATTTGCCATCTCTAACGGATGAGGATGCTGTGGTGTAGGGAGCCAGGGAGTAAAGAGGGCTGTTCTTGCATTGAATGCCTAGGCTCCATACAATTCTGAAATGCTGATGAGAAGTATATGTGAAGCTATCTATGGTTTTTCACATGAAAACTGTTTAAAGTGTAACTCATTATGATTTTCTTTATATTTGCATCTGGGGGTTAATTTTCACTGCCCAAGAACTTTGTTGCATAACTTCCAACATCGTCAGTGAATGCTTGTGGTTAAAAAGCCCTCTGTCCTTCAAAGAATTCCTAAGTGCTATTTTGTTAAAAAAAAAATTCCTAAGTGCTGTTTTGTTTTTCTGTGATAAAATTTGTTCTTGTAAAGTTTTAGGAAGATGATAATTTTTATGTCTGGTTACTATTTGTGAAGTTTGCTTGGAAATTTTCAGTCTCGTTGTGGTATAGTGGTTTTTCTGTTTCCCGAAGTTGTTTTATGTTTTTATGACATCTTTTGTCATTCTTTTCCAGAGAATTCGGTCAACAGTGGATGAAAAAGAACAAAAACAACTTCTCATGGATTTGGATGTAGTAATGCGGAGTAGTGATTGCCCATACATTGTTCAATTTTATGGTGCACTCTTCAGAGAGGTAGGAATAAGTTATTCGGGTTTTAGCTGACAAATGACTATCTAATTGGAATAAATAAGAAGAAGGCAGGATTAGATTCTAATCTTCAATTAAATGCCATACATTAGTCATAACTTAATTTCTCAGTATTTTAGTATAGAACCATGATAATCTACACGTTAATTTATACCACTTATTGTTACTTTGGTTAAGGGGTGAATCTCCTGGTCTTTTTTTTTTTTTTATGGCTGTCATTTGTGAATCCTTTATTTCTTTCCTTCATTTATAAATATTTTGTTTTCTTTCAGAACCTGATAGCACAGCTGAGTTATAACTATTAACGCTTTGCTGTAGGTTTAGATCTCTCTTTTTTGGCCTTGAGCTCCCTCACTGTCTCCCCACCCCCTTTTTAAAAACTTTTATTCATTTCTGTCATCAAATGTGTCTGCATTTAACGTAAGCATTTATTCATCCCCACCCACAGTTCTTGATAAAACCCATCGGACATGGAAATTAACAACTGTAATAGAAATTCTTTTGCTAATTCTGTTATCCAGACTTTTATGTAGAAACTAGAACGCTGATTTCTTGGTCTCATGATCATGTTTCTTCTTTTGGTCTTTGGTTATTCTGTGTGTCCTCCTGTGGGTTATCACTTCTGCCTCCAGCTGTCAGCTCACTTACTCATTTCCAGTCATCCCAGTACCTAAAGCGAGGAAGTGAGTTAGGGCCAGAGAGTAAAGCTGGAGCTGTAAATGAATCAGATACTTTATGTGTCTTGGACAGTCATCAAACACTTGTGATGTTTAGTTAGGTGAGTAGGACTTGAACTGAACTCTTAAGCATTTTAAATACTCTTAAGAAAATACTATTCTCATTTTGAAAATGTTAGGATGAGCTGGTGCTGGTGGGGTTGTTGCTAACTAGTAAGAAAAAAACCTCTCCATCCCTCTCGTCTTTTTGGGATTGGATCACAAAAAGTGTAGCCTTGGGGTTTTTATTGTAGCTATTCACTTAAAAAATAGTATGTTGTAAGACAAGACTGAATGTAACACTGAGTAGAGATATATGAAATCTTACATTTGGAGAACACCTTAGAGGTTAGTCAATTAATTCTCCACCCAATCCCGAAATGTTTATTATTTATTTTTCCGTGCTCTTAACAGGTAGCTCTAATAACGAGAAGCATTCTGCTTCATGGAGAGCCCGTTTCTTTATGGAATCACTAATTAATCACCATTAATGCTACACTCGTATAGTTTCTTTCTGCTCCTGTCCTTGTCCTCTTTATGACGTAATTATTTATTTTTATGACCGGATACATTGAACTTGTTGACTTCCTTCGCCATTTCCCATAGCAGTCTCACATCACAGCAGCGTTCAGCCGTGCGTTCAGGTACGGAGCTGTATCCTGGACTTAAGTTTCACATAATGGTATTCTGTTCGTAAGGTCATGAATTTGGAACTTTCTTCATGTTGCACAAGAATCTTGCCATCTCCTCCTCCCCTTTTCCTCCAGACTCTGAGTTTATTCTTCATAATCACTAAATCCTCTGGCCACTTTACTCTTCAAATCTTATGCCGAACAGTAGTTATTTAGGGATTGGACTAGATTTTCTCTCCTAACTAGATTGCACAGTCAGCTTTTGCAGTGCAGTGTTTACTGTCACTCTAGACTCCTAGTGGCTCCGTCTTAACCCGAATTCACCTCCATAGTGCTAGGGTACACCAGTTTATTTCTCATGTTTATTTAATCATTTGTTTAAACAACATTAAATATATAGCCACAGGCTAGATAGTGTGAAAGTCTGATCTTATGGAAAAAAAGGCAGAATAAGTGATATCCATGATTGAAAATTTATTGGAAACAAAATAGAAAGCTTAGAATAGTATTTGAACAGTATCCTTATGATTTCTTATGAATAGCTGGGTAAAATTCAGTTTTATATCTTAGGAAGGTTGAAGGGAGTTGAGATACACAACTAGAAGCATTGACATCTATATGAATGTTCTCTAGTTTTCACATGTATTGTTGTCACAGCAGTCTCAGGGGTTCGATGGTATTATCCCCCTTTTTCCAGAGAGGAAAGTGAGATCGGAGTACTAATTTGACAAAGATCACACAGCCAATAAGTGGCAGACACAGAACTTCAAAGATGAAAATTTCACTCTTCTTTCTGTTACACTGCAAGTGGTCCAGGGAGGAACTTTTAGCTTCATTTAAAAAAAAATCTACTTTTTAAACATTATAGTTTTTGAATGTAATAAACAAAGGCTTAGGAATTATACACTTAAGTTGTGTAAAGTCCCAGTGCCTAGATAGAGTGAACATGAACTTCCCCTCAAATCTTAGAATGGAAGAAGTAATAGGTACTTTCTGAATAGCAGACAATGAAGTTTTAGAAGAGAAAGCCCACCTTTAAAGAGTGCATAGTCAAAGTGTGTTTCCTGAAGTTACAAAGATTAAAAATTTTAACCAGATTTAATAAGGGTTTAGAGAAACATTTTTCTTTCGAGATTCATCACTTCAAGGAAAAAGATCAGGCCTGGCCTCATGGCTGAGTGTTTAAGTTCGCACGCTCTGCTTCGGTGGCCTAGGGTTTCGCTGGTTCGGATCCTGGGCGCGGACATGGCACGGCTCATCAAGCCATGCTGAGGCAGCATCCCACATACCACAACTAGAAGGACCCACAACTGAAAATACACAACTATGTGTTGGGGGGCTTTGGAGAGAAAAAAGGAAAACATAAAATCTTAAAAAAAAAAAAAGAAAAGAAAAGGATCTTTTTGGTGACATGATAATCTTTTTGGTGACATGACATTCAGTTCTGATAATAGACACAGAATTCTAGGTTTATGGAAGGAAAGAATGGAGGTGAATGTATGCAATCAGGATGCAGTCTTACCCCACCATCCCTAGGAGAGAGACAGATGCTTTTAATTCGTATCACTGTGAGAAACCCTCCAGAGTATTTCATTTCACATAATTTATATGACCACAAGACATCGGCTCTTGGTCTAGTTCAATGAAGCATCAGTCAAGGAGCTTGTGAGATGTTATTTTTCTTCTTCTTGCAACTACTGTGTAGAGACTAATCTTGCCATTGACTAGTATTAAACCTCTGGAATTTCCATAAATTCATTGAGAGCAGTGGTTACATAAAATTTAATACTGAAGTTGGTCACTTATTTGTTGCCATTGTATCGAACCATGTATATAATTCTTTCGAGGATGGAACTAAACTCCAATAAAAAGCCCAAAGTAAAACTAGGATTTGATTTAAATGAGTTATTGAGACACCTAATTGCAAGGTTTCTAAAGTTATTTTCAGACTTTGTGAACAGGGAACAAAGAGCTTGACAGTATTGAAAAATAAAAGTAACTTTTAGCCTGTAGCTTCCAGAAGAGCCTGTACCTACCATTTACCTTATCAATACTGAAACCTAGAATCATCTAAAAAATCTTTTAATATATAAATTTTCAGAATTTAATAGAAAACAAACCCTTATTTCAAATATTTTTTGAGATTGGAGAGTTTCTAGTGTTGGAGATACTATTCTGAGTAACTTGTGATTATAGAAATTCGTTGGATTATAGCAAAGGCAGTGATATTAGCTGAATTTAGTCTCCTCCTCCCTTTCTGTCCTGACTTCTACTCCTGTTGTCCTTTCCCTTGCAAGCTTTAAATACAACTTTATGGAGGTAAAATTGACATACGATAAACCACTGATTTTAAAGTATACAATTCGATATGTTTAAGCAAATGTATACACCTGTAGAATTATCACCATAATCAAGACAATGAACGTATCCATCACTCGCAGGTTTCCTTGTGCCCCATAGGTAATGCACACTTCCTCTCTCCTGTCACCATCCTCAGGCAACCCCAGATCTGCTTTCTGCCACTGTTAGATGAATTTGCATTTTGTAGAATTTTATGTAGGTGTAATCATACAGTATTATGCTTTTTTTTGGTCTTTTACTCAGCGTAATTATTTTGCAGTTAATGTTGTGGTGTGTATCAATAGTTGGCTCCTTTTTATTGCTGAGTAGTTTTAGTAGTATTCCATTGTGTGGATGCACCAAAGTTTGTTTACTCATCCACCTGCCGCTGGACATATGGGTTGTTCCAGTTTTTGTCTGTTACAAACAAGGCTGCTGTGAGCATTTGTGTAGAAGTCTTTGAGTCGACATCTGCTTTGATTTCCCTTGGGTAAATATGCGGGAGTGGAATGGCTGGATCATATGGTAGGTGTATGTTTAACTTTTAAAAAAAATGGGCAAACTGTTTTCTAAAGTAGTTGCACCATTTTCAGTTTCCACCAGTAGTATATGAGAGTTCTATTTCTTCCACATCTTTTCTGACACTTGGAACAGTCAGTCTTTTTAATTTTTAGCCGTTCTAATAGATGTATAGTAGAATCTCATTGTATTTTATTTTTCACTTCTCTAAGGGTGTTGAACAACTTTTCATGTGCTTATTTGCCAACCGTATGTCTTCTTTGACAAAGCCTCTCTTCAAATCTTTTGTCCATTTCTTAGAAAATTGGTTTTTTGTTTATTTCTTATTAATGAGTTTTGTGAGGTATTTTTTTATGCATTCTGGACACAGGTTTATTATCAAATGTATGATTTTAAATATTTGCCCTCAATCTGGGGCTTATTTATTGTACTCTTAACACTGTTCTTTTGGAAAGCATAAATGTTGATGTAGGCCAATGTATGAGTTTTTTCTTTTATTTGTTGGGCTTTTGGTGTTGTATCTAAGCAATCTTTGCTTAACTCAAGATCATTTAGGTTTTTCTCTTATGTTTTCTTCTAGTAGTATTGTAGTTTTAGGTATCACATTTATATCTGTCATCCATTTGGGGTTTTTATGTGGTGAGAAGTATGGATTGATGTTTACTTTTTTGTATATGGATTCCTTTGCTCTTTGTCAGAAATCATTTGTCCATATGTGTGTGGGTCTGTTTCTGGGCCATCTAACCTGTTCTATCCATCCATTTTGTCTGTCTTTGCC